ATATATAGGGAGAGTTTATATTATTCCTGACTCTCCAAAATCTACTTTGTTTAAAACAAGATAAGTAAGATCTCAATATAAAGGGACTAAACACTCACTCACACACACACACACACCACAAGCAGCATCTCTTCCCAACAAAACTACAGAATAGGACTTTGTAGAGCCATGACAGTGTTAAAGCAGCGGAAAGGCAAGACACTCTGAGCGTATTTACTTTCAACATCTTTCTTAAGAGCTTTTACTTAACAACCTTTTCAAATTTCTAAGATAGTTTTCCAATCTTGTTTTTAAATCTTGATCACTGTATCTAGGCATGAACTATTTCATGGCTTACAGCCCCCTTCAGTACTTTTTTCACTCATATGCCCTTGATACCCTTCCAGAAGCATCTTTTCTGGAAGCACTCCTGTGTGCTAGAACCTGCCACTTGATGTTTCATTTGTCCATGTTCTTGCCTCTAGGTACTGGCAGCATAAGAGTGAGGCCCTGCCTTGATTACGTTTTAGCCACCAGTACTGAAAATGTCCGCTACATGGAAGGTGCTCAGTAAACATTTGCAGAATGAAGGTATGCAGGCATTTCCTCACACTGGTGTGAAAAAAATATGAGCTCACCTGACTTAATGCCTCAATACGATGGGGCTTTTGTACTCAGAGAAAATCAAACAACAAATGTAGTCTAATTGGTGTTTTCCATATAGGAGTATAACTGATAGAAATGTTTCGTGAGTTGCAGAATGTGAGCTTATTTATGGCCTGAAATAACTGCTGTTATTCAAGGAGGTTACAAGGAATTGTAAGACTTGGAGAATTTTTCTTGTGTGTTTGTTTTATTTATATCGAGTCAGAGCTAACTGCTAATGCTACCTTCCCCATCCCTAAATATTTTATGAACTAATGTATAAGACCCATGATCAGACCTGGAAGAGCTGGCCAGGCATGGAGATACCACAGATAAGCAGCAGAGGATGGAGCCGCCTCTGGCATGCTTAGATCTCCATCTCCCACACTTACCAAGTGCAGACCTTGGGAAGAGTTCCTACCCCTTACCATCTTGGCTTTTAGGTAACACAGTAGTTGTTTTTGAGGAAGACTTTAAAAAATAATGTTAATACATGATGGTTAGAGAAAGCTTAGTACACAGGAAGTGGTGAACACAGGGTAACTATAATTAAGGTACAGTTCATTCCATCCAGCCTACCCTCTGCTAGTATAATGAGTTTCATACACACATTTGCTCATTCATTCATTCAATGTTTATCAAACACTCAGTAGGACTTGTGTCCTGTGCTAAGCACAGAGCAGAGTAAGGCACAAAACAGACAAGTCTCACTGCCATGGAGTTTTACCTTCTAGAAAGAGGAATCATTAGAAATACAAAGGTACATGGATAAATAACATGTCAGGAGGTGACAAGTGGTCTGAAGTAAAACAAGATTAACAGAGACAGTGAACAATGACAGGGACACAACAACACAGAGATGGGGGTCTTGTGTGATTTAAAGAAAGGAGGGACCAAGCTGCAAAAGTATTCATCCAAAAAGAAATCCAGGCAGGGCAGGGGAACTGATGCAGAGAGCCTCATGGGAAACAACTTGAGCCACAGGAACCTGGAGAGAGAGCACAACCTCAAGCACTCAGCCTTGTCCTTGCCTTTGCCCAGGCCTTGGGACCTATTTTTTTCTCATGGAACCACAACAGAATTCTTGGGGTTCTTCCTAGCTAAAACACCCAGCACCTGGCCAGCACAAGGGACTGGACATGGGAGATGAGAGGTGGCCTCATAGGAACCACTGATAACATAGTCCAAGGACGATAAGCGCATGTGAGGAGAGGCAAGAACATTTTCCCGCCACCGTAAAAGAATACAACAGCGGGGCTAGAGAGATGGCTCAGCGGTTAGGAACACTGGCTGCTCTTACAGAGGATCCCGGTTCGATTCCCAGCACCTACATGGCAGCTAACAACCTTCCATAACTTCAATTCCAGGGGAATTCAGTGCCCTCTTCTGACTTCCGTAGGCATTGTACCACATGGATGCAATAACATACATGCAGGCAATACACTCATACACATAAAATTTTTAAAAAAGAAAAAAAAAGGCAACACATGAGCTTGAGTGCAGGGGGCATGCCGGGTAAAGGAAAGACCTGGTGGGAAGTTAAAAAGAAAAAAAAAGGCAACACATGTCTCTGAGCTTGAGTGCAGGGGGCATGCCGGGTAAAGGAAAGACCTGGTGGGAAGTAGAAGGTCTGTGCCACTGGTGGACATTGGAGTGGAGACTCTGAAGACTGCCAATTAAGAACTTTAGTTAGGCCAGGCATGGTAACATAAGTCTTTAATCCCAATACTCAAGAGGCAGAGGGAAGCAGATCTCTGTGAGCTCAAGGCCAGCCTAGACTATATAGTGAGTTCCAGGCCAGTCAGTACTTCATAATGAGAACCTATCTCAAAAAAATGAACTTTCGGCTGAGTTGGTAAGAGGGCATGCCACCAAGCCTCATGACTTGGGTTCAATCCCAGGAACCCACATGGTGGAGGGAAAGAACTGAGTCCCATAGACTGCCCTCTTCCCTCCACATGCAGACCATGGCACATGCATGCCCACACATATACAAACACAAGGAATTTTTTTAATGTAATTTTTTTCTAAAGCACTTTAGCCGAAGGTGTCATCTCAGTATCTAATTCTGGCTTCAAGGTCATTGCCTGGAGGGCTCAGCTGAACTTAATGACCAGTGGAGATTTGGGAACAATGATTTTTGAGCCTGGCTTTAACTTCCAGTTGCATATTTTTTTTCTTTGAACAATTTTCAAGTTACTGTTAGAAACAAAGATTTTGCTTAGAAAAAGATGCTCTTGTTTAAGCTGGGGGGGCTGATTTTATGTCATGGTCTCAGACTGAGAGCAAGTAGCCCAGCTTCCTGGGAAGACACTTGCTAAAAATCATCCTCTCAAAGTAAAGCACATGAGCACGCATCATGTGCAGGTGCTCATACATGTGTGCAGTGCGCATGCCTGTGCACTCAGGCATGTATGTGGGGTTCTCTAAAGGAGCAGAATCTGAAGGCAGACAAGAGATGATAAAGGAAGAGAGAGATTTGTTTGAAGGACTAGAGAGCCTGAGACATTACTCGTCTCAAAAAACTAAACACGTTAACAATACCAAAGTCGAACTAACCAGCTTGCCAGTAAAAGGCTTTTATTATTTGCCTTATTTGAGCTTAGCCCATATTTCTATTTAATTGCTCCTCTCATTTTCTTGGGTAATAATTATAAGACTAACTTTTCAAATAAAATAAAATTGCTCCTCTGCTTTATGTAGACTGCTTACAAAACGGGTTAAGGCAAGTTCGCCCAACTGCTTGTCCTGGTCTTGGGGGTTCAGAGAACTGATCCAGGTTAGGGAGAGGGCTCTCACTCCAGCACTTGCCCTAATCACTGAGAACAAATCACCAAAGGTAGAAGCTTCTGACTGTCTCAGTATCCTTGTTTATTAGATTAACTTTGATTTGTGTGTGGGGGGGGGTTGGGAGTGGCTTAACCATTTTGCAGGACAAATCAAAATTAGTTGGTCTAGGGATCCTTACAATAGAAAGTCTGTAAAACCCCTTGTTGCAACTGTGTAAGAAATGAAAGTGAGGGGCTGGAGAGATGGCTCAGCAGTTAAGAACACTGACTGCTCTTGCAGAGGACCCAGGTTGGATTCCCAGCACTCACATGGTGGCTACGAACCATCCTCAACTACAGTTCCAGGGGAATCTGAAGCCCTCTTCTGACTTCCGGGGCATTGCACAACATGGGTGGATTCACGTACATGCAGGCAATATACTCATACACATAAAATAAAAATAATAATAATAAAAAAGAAAGTGAACATCCCTTTATTGACTCAATAACACCTTCTGATACTAGGGGAACTCTTCCCTCTGCCTGCACTTAAGGAGACTATAATCCATTGATCTGAAAACAGAGTAACAGTAAATATGGGGAAAGATATCTTGTCTGGAAATAGTATATTGGTAAACACATGTATTATTGACCATATTTTAAAGAATTTTCTAAAAATCTTGAGATTCACTCTCCAATTTCTCCTACCTTGCTCTGTGTCTGGGTGTTGCCTGGCCTTGAGTTCAATCCAGCCAGGGAGAACCCTGGAAGGAGCTGGGAGACAGGAAAGCCATGGCATTCCTCTTCCTCCCTCTTGGCACTCAGCATATCCCTGGCAGTGATCCCTCTGGGGTTCTACCTCCCAGTGGAAAACGGCTTCCTCTGTGGTCTCAGCTCCTGCTGGGTGGCTCCCCTAACGCCCACCTCCTCTCCCTTTGATTCTCCAGTCCCACAGGCATTAGTTGGATTGCCTCGCTGTATTCCATCCTTTCCAGCTGTGGCAATGCACTGCTTGACTGCTTGGCATGGGCCTTGCCTTTCTGTCTGGACCCTGCTAACGGCACTACCCATGAGCCTCCTGGTCTCTAGAGACCAGGAGTCAATGGACTTGGAAGACTCATTCCTTTTTGACTGACAGGCAAGGTCTCTCAGACATTTTCCTGACCACCTACTTGTATGTGGGAGTGAAAAGAACATGGACAGAACTGGACACTAGAGTTGCTATAGAGTCACCTGACCTTTGCCAAGGATTTTAAGTCTCATAGGTCTGAGTTTATTCATGTTAATGGGACAGGAGTTCATTTGACCTGCTCACTGCTGTTTGGCTCAACAGAAGGGCATGGAAATGTGTTTTAGAAACTGAAGTGGTCATTGCAAATCTAACATATGACTGATATTCTATGAGATGCAGCTGATTCTGAAGGAAGGGAAAATGTTTTATTCTCAGCTCAGCCTGATTTGGGCTAAACGTTCTATCCCAGGAAAAGTGCACAGACCAGTGTCTGGTACAGCAAAAAGCTGCCCAGTCTTTTGCTGTGATTCCTGCACTATGCTTGGCATTGGGACAGCATGACAGTTTATCAAAGGCCTAGGGGCCATTCAACTTACCAATGTCGAGAACCCTCTGCTTCGCTGTGTGCTGCCGGGAGTGCCAGTATTTCCAGTATTTTAGCTGTTCTTCTCGGTTTTTGTCTTCACTGAAGACCACCATCACCACACTCTGCAGAGGGGAGAAGGGTGGCGGTTACTCTCCACTCAGAATTCTGCTGCCTCGGTCTCCAGTTCTTGCAATCATATCATTCCTATGTTTCTGGAATGCAGCTTTTTCTTGATTAAAGTCCATATATGGGCTGACGAGGTGCCTCAGTGGGTAAAGGGGCTTCCTGCCAGGGCTGTCCATCTGATCTCAATCCCTGAGACCCACAGGATCAAAAGAGAGAACCAGCTGTCATCTGACCTTTACAGGTGTGCTGTGATACTCATGCACTCTCAAACATACACATACACACACACACACACACACACACACACACACAGAGAGAGAGAGAGAGAGAGAGAGAGAGAGAGAGAGAAACACGCACACAAATGTAATAAAACAATTATTTTAAATGACTGAAAGCTGCACAGGAAAAAAAAATCTCTGTGACTCTTATTATGATGTCTTAAACAACCAGATGAACTAATTACTAACAAATTTATTATTTTGCAAAGTCAGCCAGAACACCAAAAAGTATTTTAATTGTACTAGAAATAAATGCACTTTAGAAAGTTTCTGTCTTAAGCAGAATTGATGCCATTTGTACGGAAGCAGGCATCTATCTCTCACCTAGTTAAGCACCTCAGGTACCTTGAGACTGTAATAAGAGAATTACCCAGGAAATGCTAAGATGAATTCATATTGATGAACAGGGGCTTAAACTTCAGATAATTCATAACCAAATATTACAAGAGGAACAATACATTTCAATAGAATATGGCTGATCTTTAAAATGAGTTTGAGGGGCTGAAGAGATGGCTCAGCAGTTAAGAACACTGGTTGTTCTTACAGAAGACCCGGGTTTGAATCCCAGCACCCACATGGCAGCTAACAACTCCAGTCCCAGGGGATCCAACAGCCTCTTCTGTCCTCCATAGGCGTTGCACGACATGGGTGCACTTACCTACATGCAGGCAATACACACATACAAATAAATAAATAAATAATAAATAAATAAATAAAATCTAAAAAGAAAAGGGTTTAAAATGAGTTTGAGAAATCAATTCTATCTTATAGACTGAATCCAAAATCCATCTCAGTTCTAAATTACAAACAGTCACATTAAACTAAATACTGTCATTTAGGAAATGCAGATAGTACCAAACACAAACAAGCTCTTTACAGTACCAGGAATACTCTTCCCCTCATTCTACACTCTAACCACCTGTTAGATAACTTTCTGACTATTCCAGAAGACTTACGTGCTGCTAGTTTTCCCTGTCAACTTGATACAGCCTAAGATCAACTGAAGAGAGACTTAAGAGGAATTATCTATACCAGACTGGCCTGTAGGCATGTCTATGAGGGGCTGCCTTGATTGATGTAGAAAGACCCAGCCTGTTGTGGGTGGCACCATCCCCTAGGCAGCGGTTCCTTAAGAGAGGAAGACGAGCTAGTTGAGAACAAGCTAGTAAACCTGTATGTGTTTATTTCTCTCCGCTCTTACTGTGGATGTGATGTGACTGGCTGTTGAATTCCTGTTTTCACTTCCCCATAATGGACTGTAACCTAGAACTGGAAGCCAAATAAACCCTTTCTTCCCTAAGTCGCTTTTAGTCAGGACATTTTATCACAGCAACAGAAATGAAACTAGAGCACTTGCCAGAGGTGCTCATCCCCTAAGAATGCCTCCTTTGGAGCCATTTACAAATTATAGTCATTTACTTAATTATTCAGTGTTACTCAGCTGATGGTGGTATCTTCCACTGACTCTGAACAAGGACAGGAACAATGTCTGCTGTTTGGAGCCTGACAAGTACATGTTAGTGGCTATCAGTTCAAACCCTAGCTCCTTCCTAATGGCTGTCTGAACATTATCTATATAAAAAAGTAAATACCTGTCAGAAAAATTAGTTTATGTGTCAATATTATTCAAATTTAAAGCCAATAGATTTTCAAAGCCTGGATAAGTGGCAGCAAAGGGAACCAATCACTGTCTGGGTAGAAACTAAGGCTCCGCCATCTCCTCATTCTTCCCTCTCCCACTTTCCCATACTTTTCCACTTAGATGTAAAAGTTCACAATGTGGTTTCCTGAAGCTTATTTCTGGCCCAAAGTGAAAATAACATTTAAGATAAAGGACTGCTGTACTTTTCTCTAGCAAATAATTAAATTAGCAGGGCTAGAGAGATGGTTCAGCAGTTAAGAGCACTGGCTGCTCTTGCAAAAGATCTGGATTTGATTCTCAGCACATGGCAGCTAACAACCATCCATAACTCCAGTTCCAGGGACTCCAATGCCCTCTTCTGACTTCCACGGGCATTACATGACACAGTGCACTTACATACATGCAGGCGATATGCTCATACACATAAAATAAAAATAATAAAATATTTTAAATGATTAAATTAGCATAAATAATGTCATTTTCTAATCATAAAAATGCATTTCTTTAGTAATAAAGAAAATAATTTAAAACTTATAATTAAGTTTTACATGCCTCCGTTGGGAACTTTATACTGTTCTCATAGTAAATGTTAATAGGCTACAAGTGGATCCCAATTTCCTCTGACCTGTTTGCTACCCCAGAGCCAAAGAAAGGTTATCCTGAGGGGTGCCCACTCTTCAAGTGTTAGACTTAAGTCCTTAAGAGACTGGGTCTCTCTCTCTCTCTCTCTCTCTCTCTCTCTCGCTCTCTCTCCTCATACTAGAGCCCAGGCTAGCCTAGATCTCACTATGCAGCCCAGGCTGACCTTGAACAAGCAACAATCCTCTGGCCTCAGTCTCTCAAGTGCTGGGATTATAGGTACGAGCCACTATAGCTGGCTCAGGTTTCTTTTTAGTCAAAATGGAACATAAGGAAATAAATTTCCATATTAAAATACTTATAGCAGAACTCTCAGAAAGTTTCTTGTACTACAAACTGTTGTCATGTCCTTAGAGTACAACCATTGTTTTTCCAAGTGATGGTATATGGTATTGTGTGGTATTAATGTGTATATGACTAAAGTCTTAATTGGAATTTAGAAGATTTTTAAAGAGAAAATGTATCCCAGATCTTCTTTCCAGATGCCCACATCTTGATGGATACTCCTGGGGGGAATTTTTCTTCTTTCACCCCTCCAGGAAGCTCAACAGAGTACCATTTTTAGTTGTAGTTTGGATGTTTTCTTGGTAGTGCTGGGAATGGAACACAAGGCCTTACATATGCTAGGCAAACCCAGCACAACACAGCACGTTTTAGTGCTTTAAAGAGTTGGGTTTGGGATTAGAGAGATGGTTCAGTGGTTAAGAGCACTGGCCACTCTTGCAAAAGATCCGGGTTTGATTCTCAGTACCCTCATGGTGGCTAACAACTGTCTATAATTCCAGTTCTAGGGGAAATCTCATGTCTTCTTCTGACCTCCACAGGCATTGAATGACATGTATGCACTTATAAACATGCAGGCAATACACTCATACCCAGAAAATAAAAATTAATAAATAAGTTTTTTTTTTTTTTAAGTTGGGCTCAGGAGGCTAATAGCTCGGGACTTACTCAGGTTCACTCACATTTTAGCTATCATCACTACCTTCTGAAAACCAAGCTTTCTTATCTGTAATATTATAATAATACAGTATCTTTTATGAAAAATATTGTGGCTTGTTTCAATAAGTTATTAGATACACAGTGCCTAGCACAGTCCCTGACACAAGAAGCAACTTAGTGTGAACTGTTATCCTGTGACTTGCTCATACAGTATGTCTTCCAAGGTGTGGTCATAGGTTGGAACATATTAATGCCCCTCACAGCACACAGCATCTTGGGTGCCTTTTGACCTGCAGTAGGCTGGCTCACATGTGGTGGAGGTATTATCATCCAGGCACACCATAGTGTTCTGCTTCTTGTGTTCGAAATGCTTAGTAGGATGCAGCTATGAACAGAGTAAGATGGGCTGGGAACCACGGGCACAGCAGGAGAATACATTTTATAACAGATCAGGAAAATCCATTTTATAACAAGAAAGTCCTTTAGCTCTTTTGAAAACTCTGCTATAATTTTCCTTTCCAGTAGAGACAGATTACCCGTCCCCTCCCCTTTGGCAGTGGTGAGCATACCAGGCACTGCCAGACTTCCAGAGCAGAGTGAAGGCTCTGTGTGGCTTCCCACAAATGGGACCAATACTCAGGAATGAAATTCCTCCAAGTTACTCTTGGTAGGATCATGCCTCACCTTTTGAATCCTGAGTAAGCTGGGGGCTACGGAAGACTTTGTAAAGTTGTAAAGGGCCCAGGACTCAGAGGGAAATGCTCTCTGAACAATAGATACTACTTCACCCACAAATATGTCCTGATTTACAGTCATTTAGTTGAAAAATTAAGATCAACTGAAAACAACTCTCTAGCATACAAGCAGTGAATGAGGCAAGGGAAAGGTATAGTCAAAAAGACTGTTTCACTAAGTTCTTTCCCCGGGATTTATTGGTTACTGATTAAAATGATAAACTACAAACCAGTAAGTTTTCTTGGTCCAACTCTCTGATATTTATTCTAAAGTTATTTATTTTAGGTTTTTTCCCCATGCCATTCAACAGGGTTGTGAGGGAGGAATAGCCCAGTATTTCCTTAGGAAAAATGTGACCCATACCCTGACTTTGCTGATGGGATGTCGGAAGCATTTATTGTCTCCAGTCTCGCTGAGCGTTATGGCATAAAACTGTCCTTTGTTGAGGTAGGTCATGGGGCCCTCCCCTTGCTTCTGACGAAGAGATTTGGTAGCTTCCAGGGTGTATTGAAATGTGCCGCTGTGAACAGAAAACAAACAGTGGTCAGATTCAGTCCCTTGGACATTTCTGCCTTCCTGAGAAGTTCATATCAATAGTATTTCGGATGAATATTAACCAATATTTGCTCTGTTTTGGAGACAGAATACAGCATATGGCAAGAGATGAGTATAGACCAAAGGTCAGTATGAGAACAATGTATATATTTTTAATTGTGGCCCATAAACCAGATATTTTAAATGAGGAGAAAGTCTGTGATATACTTGGCAAATTCATGCCAGAGAATCCTGGGTAGACCTTGACTGACATTCATAGTGCACAAGCTTAAGAAATGATAGAATTTGCCACCTTTATCCTAAGAACAAGCCAAGCATCAATCCTTCTTTTCAATACATATAGAAACCCAGTTTTCTTTGTATCTAACTATATTTCACTTAAAAATATGAATTCAAAATGTGAATATCCAAAAGCCATTCACACACCAGGCATGGTGGGATGAGCCTTTGGCTTTCATCCCAGCCCTCAGAAGGCAGAAGCAGATGGATCTCTAAGACTGGGGCAGCCTGGTCCACATAGTGACTTTCAGGCACTCTAGGACTAGGGAGACCCTGTCATCCAAAAAAATAAAAACCAACAAAAAACAACAACAACAACAAACTTCATTCACTACTGGGCATCTTGTTCCCTAGTGGGGAATATTTTAGTCTTCTTTTGTTTTGTTTTTTTTTGCAATACAGGGGATTGAGCCCAAGACCTCACATGTTCTGGCGTGTTCTATCACTGAGTTACATCCTCAGCCCTTTTTAAATTTATTTTGAGACCAAGTGCTGCTAAGTGGTGCAGGCTGGTCTGGAACTTGGTTGTGGTTTTCCACCTCAAATTTCTGAACAGCTGGCATTGCAGGCATATGCCACAAAACTGGTGTGTTTCTTGTTTTTAAAAATCTACAGAACCCCTGGTGGGGCTGCTTTAATCAGAGGCTAGCAAATGATAGTTCACGACACAACCAGCTCACTAGCTGATTTTGTAAGTGAAGTTTTATTGGAACAGTTATACCTGCTGTTTATTATCCAGTTATTGCAGAAAACATTGCAGATCAATAGTTTTTCTAGTATTTTTAACGTATAATTTAATTTACAATGCAAAAGCATTGATTTTTCCTAATTTTGAAGACTCTATCAATTGTTTAGAATGAATATAAGAGGTATGAACCATGTGTTTCTTACTTCAATTGTTCTTTCAGAAATGCTTGTTTGGCTATACTGCGGAACACATAATAGTGACAAACTACTAATAAGCACTGCTTCTCAATTAGCAGCATCTCTCCACTGGGTTCAGTTACACCCACCCCCCTTCATCCCATAGTCTTCAAAAAGCCAGCAACTAGGACAACTCACACACTTTGTCTCTTATACTTACAGGGTCAGGGGAACTCCTGCTTTTTATTTCAGCTATTTTTGGAATGTTTTATTTATATTTCAACTTAATAAGAAAACATTTTGAAGGTAAAAAAAATCTTATTCTATAATACAAATCTAAGGCTTGAGGATGGATAGATGACTCAGCAGTAAGAGCACTTAATGCTTTTGCAAAAGACCCAGATTCAGCTCCCAGCATCCACATGGCAGCTCACAACCATTTGTAACTTCAGTTCCAGGGGATCTGACATCTGATGGCCTCTTCTTACCTTTCCTGACACCAGGCACCCACATGGTCCACACACATACATGCAAGCAAATACTCATATACATAAAATAAAAATAAATTAATCTTTTTTAATCCGAGACTTAAGCTAACAAACTAAGCAAACTCCAGAATATGTGTTAAGTTGGAATTCATTCCAGTGTCATTTTGCCCAAAAAAGACATTTTGATATTATTGTACTGCTGAATCATAAAATTTTCCACCTGGACAGGATCTATTAGGAATTACCTAGACAAGTAGGTTGCACCTTATCTATGTCAAAGGTTGAATTTAAAATGGGAAGAAAGGGCTGGGGATGTGAGTCAGTTATGCCTGCTTAGCATGCGCAAAACCACAGGTTCAATCCCCAGTACCATATAAAACTGGGTGTGCTAATGCACACTAGTAATCTGGACACTCAGAAAATAAAGGCAGGAGGATCAGAAGTTGTTCAAGGTCTTCCTCAGCTACATAGTAAGTTCAAGGCAAGCCTGGGTTACATGAGACCCTATCTCAAAAAAGAAAGAAAAAAAGGAATAGGTAAGATGTGTCAGTAGGTAAAGTTGTTTGGCACCAAGACCTGAGTTTAATCCCCAAGACCCACATGGTGGAAGGAAAGAACCAACTGCCACAAGTTGCTCTCTGGCCTCTACACATGCTGTGGTATGCATGTATCCACACACACAAATACATAAATCAAATGTTATTAAAAATAATTTTAGTGAAGAAAAGCTTAGGACTCTCCTCCCAAAAATAGGTAAATATGAACATAAATGATTTTAATACAACTTTGTGCCCCCCAAACATCATAACACAGACTAAGAACAGAACTCAGTCCACTTTCCTCATTTCAAAGCTCAAAACTATCTAATAGAAAATTTTACTCCATTATAAAATGGTAACAGCAGCAGAGGGACTGTCCCAGGTGACTGCTGGATCAGTGCCCTTCTCACTGCCTGGAGATGATTACCGAGTGCTTCAGGTATGTAGTTCCATGTTTCAGAAGCAACTAGGTCAGATGGGAAATACTAATACAGAACTTGATAGCAAGTGAAAGAAGCAAAGGAAATCAGAGAGAGAGAGAGAGAGAGAGAGAGAGATTGAAATTTTAAACTATTACATAACTTTTAAACCAATTAGGGCTGGAGAGATGGTTCAGTGGTTGAACACTGCTGCTCTTGCAGAGGACCTGGGTTTGGTTCCCAGCATTTACATGGCAGCTCACAACTGTCTACAACTCCAATTCCAGGGAACCTGGTGCCCTCTTCTGGCCTCCAGGAGCACCAGGTACAGATATGGTGCACATACACTTGTGGAGGCAAAACACTCATGCACAGAAAATAAAAATAAATAAATCATTTTTTAAGGTTATCAGTGAAAGGCATCTCCTGATAACCTACCTTGCTGTCTGATCATATGTGTACTCTTCAGCCCCAACAGATGTACTCCGGAATTTCTGAAAAAATTAAGTTGTAAAATTAAGACAAATGGATGAGACCTTCTGCAAGCATAAAAAATAACAAATGTAAGATAAGATAATAAATGTATCCTATTTCATCATCTCCTATGAAGGAAAGTGGATATGACCCCAGAGAGTTTGCAGTAGCTGGTACTGTGTCTCCAAACATATAAACCATTTGTTCAATTTTCTAATACTTTATTGCAAATGTCACAAATTTTAAATTAATGGGAATACTAATTACACAGTGACACACAACATAGTAAAAAGCCATCTAATAGAGTGGTTAGAAGCATAGTTTCTGGAGTAAGATTACCTAGGGTCAAGTTTTAGCTATTTTACCTGACACACAAAATTTTGTGATACTTTCTATTAAATGTAGATTCATGTTTACAGGCTAACAAACTACTAAAGGCATGACAGGTACACAGTGAGCATTTCACATGTGACTCAAGTACTAGTAAATATCAATAGTTTGGCCACATGCAAGGATCCTCTAAGCATCTTTCCTATAACAATATTTTCAGAATAGATTTGGGAGAAAACGCTGTTTAGTATTATACAAGAGGCAGCATGTGTCCAGGGTGTGTGTGTGTGTGTGTGTGTGTGTCTGTGTGTCTGTGTGTCTGTGTGTCTGTGTCTGCTACAAATAGGACCCACTTTGCTATATTTTAAACAGTTTCAAGAGTTAATGCCCAGGGAAGGTGAGACTACTTGGTATGAAAAGGCACTTGCCTCCAAGTCTGACAATTCAAGATCAATACCTAGAATTCACATGGTGGAGAGAACTGACTCCTAAGTTGTTTTCTGACCTACACACATGCACATGTGTATATGGATGCACACACATATATGCAATCAAAAGATAAATGCAATTTTAAGACCAGGAGTGGTGGCACACATTTTAATCCCAGTACTCAGAGGCAGAGGCAAGTGGGTCTCTGTGAACTCAAGACCAGCCTGGTCTACATAGTGAGTTCCAGGTCAGTCAAAGCTACATAGTGAGACTCTGTTTCAAAAAAAAAAAATCAATAATAAAAACAATAACAATAACAACAAATACATAGTGAGACCCTGCCTCAAAAAACAGAAAATGGTAATTTTTAGAAAATTAATGCCAAGAAGCCCTAATTCTTAATCCTTAAAGTGAATATAATAGAATATTGGGGGGAATGCACTTGGTTGTACTCCTAGGCATCTACCCAAAGGACTCAGTATCCTACTACAGAGATACTTGCTCAGCCATGTTTGTTGCTGCTCTTTTCACAATAGCTAGAAAATGGAAACAACCTAAATGTCCCTCAACTGATGAATGGATAACAAAAATGTGGTATATTTACACAATGGAGTTCTACTCAGTGGTAAAGAAAAATGAAATCTGAAGGTAAATGGATGAAACTAGGAACTGTTATATTAAGTGAGGTAACCCAAACTCAGAAAAACAAGTGATATATGTTTTCCCTCATTGCGGATTCTAGCTCTAAATCCTTAGATGTGAGTATATATCCTGATATAACCAAGGAGCCAGGAAAATGGAAAGGAACCTTGGGGGTAAAGGGGAATAAGGATCTGGGGAGGAGCATAATAGGAGACAGGCATTATCAAGGGGGAAATGGAGGATACTATAACTGGGGAGGGAATAAGCATGCTATACAGGGGGAGAAAGAGGAAAGAGATAAATGAAAAACCAGAGTGAAATATATTAGTTCAGAATTCTACTAAAAAATACACATACACTATCTGAACATGAGTACATGTGTACAGCTGAAGGCTATAGTAACAAGAAACACAGTGCCATATGGGAGAAACCTCCCTTTGAGTTGTTGGTCAAGGCAGTCCAAGAGACTCCCAAAATAATATAGGCTACTTCCACAGCCTTTGATTGCCTCCCCGGCCTAATCAAGGAGGGGAAACTAAGAGTCCAGGTCATCACTGTACAAAGTTGTGCCGTGTGCTATTTAAGCTTAAGTTGAAAAAAATTATACACTCAGTTACTCAGCTAGTCACATTTCAAATACTAGTTGTTAAATATGGATAGCAGCTATCATATTGGATGGCACACAAGAAAAATCGGCAGAGCGGACTTATAGTTAAGAATAAATAAACGTTCAAACAGGAGTTAACCATGATGCTTTAAAAAGCTTTTAAGAAAGCAACTTGAAGATAGAAGGATGCATCTCCAACGTTTCTGCTTCAAGGAATATGCAGTGATCCATAACAACTATGGTGAATCACCACTGATAAACATGGCTGAATGAATTTATGCATGCCTTAGCAACCTGAGGAGAGGCAGTCTACTGAACATACAGACTTGTAAAGCCCACGGTTCTAATCTACCAGGTGATATAAGAAGGTAGGATACAGCGAGTACTCAGTCTCTCAAAAACTGTTAAGTAGATGCTGACTAAAATATAACTTTGGGGTATTGAGGGATGGCTCAGTGGTTAAGAGTACTAACTGCTCTTGCAGAGGACTTGGGTTCAGTTCCCAGCACCTACATGATGGCTAACAACCATCTGTAACTCCAGTTCCAGGTGACCTAATGCCCTATAATGGCCTCTATAGGCATTGCACATATGTGTGAACTTGCATACATGCAGATAAAACATTCATTCACATAAAATAAAAATAAAATCTTAAAAAAAGAAAATGGAAACTTGCTCCAGTACATTAACTTATGTGCATAATAAAAACTAGAACCAAAGTCAAGTGCATGTTATATTATCTTTTTTCAATGTTATTTTTTCTCCAATTCTTTTATATGATTGTTATGATCCCTTGTTTGTTTCAGAAGGGTCTCACTAGATGAGCATGGTGGTACACGCCTTTAATCCCAGCACTTGGAAGGCAGAGGCAGGTGGATCTCTGTATGATCAAGGACAACCTGGTCTACATAGCCAGTTTCAGACCAGTTGGAACTACAGGGAGACCCTGTCTAAAAAAAATAAAGGGGGGAGGGGTCCCACTATACAGTCCTGGCTGGCCTGGAATTTGCTGTGTAGACCAGGTTGTCCTCCATCTCAGAGATCCACCTGCCTCTGCCTCTGCCTCTGCCTCTGCCTCTGCCTCTCTGGGATTCAAGGCGTGAGCCACTACCAAGTGCTGGTTCAAGGCGTGAGCCACTACATCCAGCCTATTTTTTGAAAACTAAGTAGACGTTCCACCTAGAAAAGATTACCAAGCCAAGTATGGTGGCGCATGCCTTTGGTCCCAGCACTCGGGAGGCAGAGGCAGGTGGATCTCTGTGAGTTTCAGGCCAGCTGAGGCTACAGGAGGACCCTGTCTCATAAAGGACAAAACAGGAAAAAAAAAAAAAAATTACCATCATTTACATGATCGATTCATGAGTTACATGAACTTAAATAATTTTAGTGTTAAGAATTAGAACTAAAATGCTTAGGGGCTTCTGACTACAGCAATCAAAGCCCATCACTCCACGAAAACCTTCCAAAACTACTTACAGAATGCTGAAAGACAGACAGCCAGATCAGTGAACCTTAACATGATTTCATGTAGTGTATCTGTGAGTTTCTTACTCATTTGGGCCCAGAAAAAAATGGTAGCAAAGAAGACACAATAATATTTATTTGACAGGTAATTCTTAAGGAACCTTGTGTATTGAAATTGAATATTAGAATTCAAGTTTTGCTTTTGAGGGCTAGAGGCAGAAAGAAGACATCAGCTATGAATATACCACAAAAAGTCAACGATTCTTTAACTGTGGAGACACCAGATATGGCTAAATAATGCCATGTCTTCCTCAACCAGCATTTTTGTTTCAGTTTTATTGTTCAGTCATTCATTCCTTCACTCATTCTTTCAATAAATTGTGCTGAATATGTACTTTTCATCGGATACAGAGCTGCATGTGATAGGTACTACAGTAAACAAAACAGGATCAGGTCTTGCTTTCATGAGCCTTTTAGTCTGGTGGGGAAAAGCATTATTCAATAACTACTCAGGCAAAAAAAAAAGAGCTACAAGGCTAGAGATATCACTCAACAGTAGGGCACTTGCTTAGCATATGCCAGGCCAAGTTCAATACCCAGCACCACAAAAAAAAAAAAAAAAAAAGAAATTACAAACTGTGCTGGGGCTGTGACGAAGACAGAGCAGTGGCATCCCACGTTCCTTGCATCACAACCGAAGTGGAAACAGGCACCACTGCCAATCAGCCTTGACATTTCTAACAGAGAGTGATGTTTCCAATGGAATACAATTGAGTCCAAGGGAAGAAAGCAACGTCCTCAGCAGAACTGGTATTCACAGTGGCACAACTACAAAAGTGAGCAGCATACCCTTTTCTGAGTGAGTGCAGCTTTCTGTGTATGACACCCTGAGCCTGCTCATCCCACGTCCTGAACACTGTGAGATGCCCAGTGTTTGACTATATTTTGACAGCATCCAATCCAATCTGCTCCTTTCCCTCCTGTCATTACACAAACACAGAGAAGAACTGGTCTCCAATGGCTAATGAAAGGTGTCAATTCAATAAGGGTTCAAGTGAGACATTACCATAGTTTGCTGAAAAATACTAGCTTTTGGACAACTTTTCCTTAATCAAATGCTATTGGTGATCTGCTTCAGACTCAGTCTTACAATCAACCAGCAAGGTTATGGCCAAAGTTCATCTGAGATCATTGAATTTAACTCAGGCTGAAATACAGTCTATAAAGTAAACACTGATTTCTAAGGCTGAAAGAGGAGCTCCAGCAGTCGATAAAAAGAGCTTCACCCTTAGCTTTTGCTGAGTTTCTTTACTTTCTCAAGGACTCTAAAGTAAAGTCCCAAACACAATAGCTTCCTTTCACAAGCCTCTATCACATGCATAACTGATAGCACATTCCCACGAATAGTGTGGTGGGTTCATTGACATTGGATCACATCCACACACTCTTCTGTGACTAACAGATGTCTCTACACCAGTGGCAATCCTTTGGTGGAAAAGCATGTACTTCCCATGGGATAGAATGATAGCTTCAGTTATTTGCTTTTCCTCCAAAAGCATCCCGAACTAGTTGGAGGCCAATCAATTATTTAACAATATCAGACTACAAGATCTTTTACTCAGTGGGAAGAAAAAATTGCAACATCATGTAAGAAGTTAATTGTAAGATTTTTTCCTTTTTATTACAAGGTCATTAAAAGTTTAGTTGTAAAACTACCAAATCCAAAGAAATGCGATAGCCTCTTAAGGGCAGAGGATTTTTTTTATATCTGATTCTGATCACTCCCTGAGTGCAGGGAACATAACAGGGGCTCATAGGACTCTGGAGCCTGAAGTGGCAGAGCTGCTAGTGCCCCTTTGAAGCACCAACTACTACCACTGTTGCAGAGAGCTACTGCCTGCTTGTCACCCCTTTGTGCCTCGGTCCCCAATCTGAAAGGTAAGAAATATCTACTGAGCTAGATAAGGGACATTCCAATTTTAAACAAATATTGGGTAAGTTACTGTCATAAGCAGTGGAATTAGTGGGAATCAGTGAAGCTCTGCAGAATCTTCTCTAAGATTGTAGGAGTTCCATCTCCCACTGGCTGCTAAATGACCACTTTTTATGCTCTCTGTGCCTTATCTTCATAAGAAAATAAGATGACAATAATAATTCCTATTTCATACAGACTTTGTGAAGGTTAACTGAGTATGTATCACTTAGAATAATCTTGCTGTGTCCTCTAAAGTTCTTGTGTTGGAAACTTAATCCCCAATGCAACAATGTCAAGAGCTGGGTCATGTGGACCACCCTCATGAAAGGACCAATATGCATTACTGACAGCTAGCCTTTTATTGCAAGTGTGGGGTTGTTATAAAAGCAAATCTGTTACTCTATCACATGTGTGTACCTTACGTCTTTTCATCCTTCAGCCATGGGATGGAAGCCCTCCTCAGATGTGGCTCATTGACCTTGTACTTCTCAGTCTCCAGAACAGGAGCCCAGTGTCAAATACAAAATGGATGAACAGATACCTGGTATACTGTATACTATGTATTCACCAAATGTTTGGGGGTTTTTTTCAAATTTCATTTATTTGTATTTTATGTCTCTGGAGTTTTGTCTGCATGTAAGTATCAGTACCCACAGAGGACAGAAGAGGGAGTTGGATGATCCCCTACTTCCCATCCCAACCCCGACATCCTGAGTTTGATACCTGGGATCCACCTGGTAAAAGGAAAAAACTGACTCCTGCAAATTATCCTCTGACCACACCCTTGGGTACGTGCACACAGGCACACAATCAATCAATCAATCAATCAATTTAAAAAAATAAGCATAGGCCTAGGAACCTACATGTAAGAGGAAAAACTATTAGCTGTCCAGAAATACACACATACAAGAAAACTATTGAGATATTGGGTTAGAAAAAGATTTCTTAACATCTAAAAGCATACTATAAAAGGTAAAAATGATAAAGTAAGTTTTATCAGATTACATAATGATGTTCTTTGAAAGACATAAGAAAATGAAAAGACTATAGGATTTGAGGCATACAAATGAGGAAGAGCTTATTTCCACTCACATCACCTAAAGAATTCTCTACACTTTAATTTTTAAAAATCATTTGATTTTTTAATTTGAGCAAATGATTTGAACAAACACTTCACAAAAATTACAGGGAGAGGAAGAAAAAAAAAAAAACCTATGAAATGATCCTCAGAGTGACTAGAAATCAGAGAGATGCAGACTGAAACCAGAACGGATACCAACACATGATCACTAAAATAGTTGAAGTTAAAAAGATTGATAATACCAAGTATTGGCAAGGGTGATGAAAATGGAAATCAGAATGATAACTCTATTTTGGAATGCTGTACCTATGTACCCAATAAAGCACACACTTACCAAACGGACCAGCAGTTTTGGTCCATAAGAAATGAAAGACTACACCATATTAAAACAGATACTTGTCTGTCCATAGATGCATTATTCAAAATAGCTCTAAACTGGAAGCAACCAAATATCCATCAATGAGTTTACAGTAAAAAAATGGTGATATATACTTACCTTGGAATACTGTTCAGCAATTTAAAACTGCAAGCTATTAATGTATAAGCAAAAATAAACTAAATGAAAGAAGACAATATAGTAGACGGTATTTCATTCAACTTACATGAGATCTTAAAAGAGGTAATAATACAATGAGAGAAGGCAGATCAATGATCGCCAAGAGCCAGAGAAAGGGGGTCAAGGGAACATTGAAGAGTGAGACCTTTTTACATTGTGGCACTGACATTATTACATAACTATTTACAACTACCAAACTTGTGAATTCAAAACAAACAGGCAAAAGTAATCATTTCTGTAAATTCTGTGGACTCCTGAGAATATGCCCTGTTTGTTACAGAATGCACACATACATTGGATTATCGGTAATTCAACACAACTTCTTGAGCATTCAGCCTGACCAAGTTGTAAAGAGTAAGATTCTTTTTTAAAAAATATTTTATTATTTTTATTTTATGTGTATGAGTGTATTGCCTGCATGTATGTGAATGCACCCGTGTCATGCAGTGCTGCGGAGGTCAGAAGAGAGCTTCGGATTCCCCTGGAACTGGAGTTAAGGACCGTTCATAGCCACCATGTGGATGCTGGGAATCAAACTCAGGTCCTCTGCAAGAGCAGTCAGTGCTCCTAACCTCTGAGCCATCTTTCCAGCCCCAAGATTCTTTTAAAAACGGACAGACAACATGACTTCCTACCATTTGGAAGGTTCAAACCAGAGATGAAGGTGAAAGCTGTGCAAGGCAGGAAGTTCCACACAAACAGCTCCTAATCCCTCATGAATATTTAAGACTAAAGATAAAACAAAGAAACATCATCAAAAAAAGAAAACAAATGGAAATATTCCTCCACATGTTTAGAAAGACTGGATCACTAACAAGTACATTAAAAGTAACAATTATAAGAGCTGGGCGGGCGCAGACCTTTAATCCCAGCAGAGGAGGCAGAGGCAGGCCGATCTGTGTGAGTTCAAGGCCAGCCTGGTCTCCATAGCGACTCCAGGCCTGCTGTGGCTATGGGTAGACCCTGTCTCAAAAAGAACAAAAAAAAAGGGGGGGGGGACAATTATAAAACAATTAAAAAAGGAACAATTATAAATCAATAAAAAAGGAACAATTATAAAACAATAAAAAAGGAACAATTATAAAACAATAAAAAAGTAACAATTATAAAACAATAAATAAGCTCACAATTAAGTCATTTAATCACTCAAATAGAAAATGGTATTCTCAGGGCTGGGGAGGTGGCTCAGTGGTACTGGCTGCTCTTGCAGAGGACCCAGTTCAAATCCCAACACCACATGGCAGCTAACAACCATCTGTAACTCCAGTTCCAGGGGATCTGACACCCTCTTCTGACCTCCACAGGCATAGCACAACACAGGTGCACGTAGATACATGCAGGCAATATACTCATAGACATAAAATAAAAATAATAAATATTTTTTAAAAAAAGAAAATGGTGTTCTCGAATTAGGATTCGGCTAGAACCTAAGCCAAGCAGGACTCACCTCTGTGGTTCCATCTTTGAAGCTCTCACTGTACGTGCTGTCAGGGGTGCTGCGTTGGTCGTCTTTGAGATAGGAGCTATGGCTGGCTATGGAGGGCAGGTCATACGGGGTTGGTTCAAAGATAACCACACGCTGCTCCTCGCCATCTCCACGGGGATAGTGCACCGGGGGAGCCATGAACACCGGTGTGAAATCCTCAGCTTTCACCACAGTGATGCCTGACACCGGGATGACTGCAGGGCTCTCAGTGATGGAGACACTGTACTGTTCCCGCTTTGAATTCTCCACATGGTCTTGAGTTAGGCAGAGGTTCACTGGAACAGTCTTTAGGACCTGCACTCTGTTTTCTCCTCCGCTCAAGTTACTCTGGGCTTCACTGATGCCAAGACAGTTTCTGTGTGTTCAGATCCACACCCACAACATGGTAGAATTAGAATAAATCTCCACTTTTAACACCCAATAAAATAACCAATGCAGGCAGCCATCCATGCTAAATCCATGCAGATTTCACAATGGGAATACAATGGATCTTTGTGTCACTAGAACTAAGACAGTTTACATATGTGTGCCCTGACACCAATGAAGTGTGGTCTTAGCTTTCTATGAAGCACTACTGTTCCACACACATTAAAAAAAAAAAAAAACGTGGCCCTAAATTTAATCATGCCTTGTCATCTGTCATCTCTTAGGAAACAGAGGAGCTGGACTGACTCAGACTCTCACCAGTGATGCTTCCTCATGCAACAGAGGGCAAAGAACCCAGAAGGACACAACTGACCAAAGTGCAAAGAATAAGAAATTGCAGAGTTTGTTTCCCTGGATAGGGCTCAGGGACCACTTCAGAAGAGAGGGTGGAAAGATTTTAAGAGCCAGGGGTGGTGCATGACCACAAGGAAATTGGCTCCCAGGCTTCTGGGTATTTGCTCATAGGAATTTACAGCAATGGTGACAGCATGCATAAGACCCATGCAAACACATCAGACAAAAACCAGTATAGAGCTGAGGAAATGGGCAGGAGACCCCAACCTTAGCTGAGGAATTACTGGCAGCTGATCCCTGGATGAACTCACACAGAAGGACATCTGGGCACACAAACTTGACTTGATAGGCCTTAACATACACGACAGGATGCATAAAACCTTGTGGGCAGGCTATGGGGGAAAGTACAAATCGAGGAGGGATCCAAATATTAAGATCTACTGCATGTACTCTGTTCCAAGGCCAAAAATGTCAAAAGTATTTGGGAGCTTGTATCTAATCCTTAAAGGGGGGTGGGAGGAATGTTGGAGGGGAGGGAGTGGGCATGGATTTGATCAAAACACCTTATATGCATGTATGAAGTTTTCAATAAAGTTTTTGTAAAAATTAAAATCTATTGTATGAAATGCATACAAATTTAGTAAAAATACACATTTAAAAAAAAAAAAAAAAGAGCCCATGGGACACACCAAGGAGGTAGTGTCCCTTACTGTCAACAAGGCAAAAGCACAAAGGTGAAGAACAGGACTGGTCGAGGTTAAAAGGAATTTTACAAATCCCAACAAGCAAGTATGTTAGGCAGATATTATTTGGATCTTGACTTAAACAAAACAAAGAAGGATAGACAAAGGCATAGATGGGACTTTTGAGGCTACTGAATATAGGCTGTGAATTAGGTGACATTAAATATTGTTAATTTAGTTGATAATATGTTGAGTTTATGTAATAAAATGTCTTTATATTTTTAGAGATACAAATCAGAAGTAGAGGTGAAAGTTGACTTGATAGTGGAATTTTTTTAATGGGGTAAAGAAAAGAGCATGTCATCAAGGAAAAATGGCAAAAGTCTATTGTTGCTGTACTGGTGTTCAGGAAGGGACTGGGGGTTCATTATGATGTCCTCTGTACTTAAGTATATAGGATAGAAAGTCCCAAAAGAAGAAAGAAAACAGTGTGGTGGCTCCTGCTTGTAATCCTAGCAAAGGAGAGGCTGCAGTAGAAAGACTACCTGAGTCTGAGTCCAGCCTGGGCTGTATAATGAGTTCCAGGCCAGCCTGGCCTACAGAATGAGACCCTGTCTCAGAGTGATAGGATAGACAAGGTAATTTAAGAGTTGGTGGGAAGGATATTTTTCACCATTCTGTGAACTAAATTCCTTAGAGGAAACAAAGTAAGAATTTATAATATTTTCATCTATGAAGCTCCATAAATATATCATCACTGAATTATTTGGGGGACTTTAAGGAAGTGTTTAAATAGAGTTAAGTACAATCAGATCTCTAACCTCCTCTCTGGTACAGAGGAAAAAAAAAGATTTAGGAAATTAATTTTTGGTGTCTGTAATGAAATACTTTCATTTATATTAAAGAATTCTGGTAACAATCAGGAGCAAAGAGGAATTAATGCAGATTACTTTGGATATGAAAAAAATGATTTTACTAGCAAAGTACCTCTGCTCAGTTAAGTTTGGGCAGGAGGTATTTCCCACTTATTTATGAATGATTCATAATAATAGAGAAAGAAAATAGATGTTCTTCATAGATCCTTGTCTTTGATTTGGGTTTTTTGTTTTGTTTTGTTTTGTTTTAATCTAGCATGTGCTTTCTAGGGCCAATGGCCATCTCTCATTGAGAGAAATGTTTGAATATAATTGAATCTTGTAAGACTTCAGTTCTCTCAGCTTTTCTCTGTAAAGAAGAAAATCCAGTCTCTGACCTTCCCTGCCAAGCAAGAGTTGGTGTTTGGAGCTTTGATTTTTTTTTTTTTTTTTTCAGAAAAAGATTCAAAGTGAAGCTTGAGAAAGAACAGTTCTGTATAAACAAAGCCAACAGAAAAACACCTGAACATCTCCAGGTCTACCACAGAGCTGCAACAAGAACTCTAGAAAATTACTCTCTGAAGAATGAAATCTACAAGTTTATAAATGTTATGGCTTTAAGCACTAACCTGTTTTCATAGTCAGATCAACAAAGTGGATCATATAGAAGACATAGTAAAAAAAAGAGAACTTATGCTTAATGTGACTCCAATGAGCTAGATAATGCCAAAATTCAGACCACCCATTTACTCAGCATCTCCTAAAGCCCACTGTTTAGAAAACTTCATGGAATGTTAATAGATGTTCTTTCAAATAAGAAGTCCATTATAAAATCAGTGTTAAAAGAAAAAAAAAGATGTTTGTTGCCATAACAAGACCACCTTAGTGGATCCAAACATGATAGGCAGTCCTTCATCTGTTTAGTTGTAACTTGGGTCTTCCCTAACTCAATTCAGCCAGGACCACCAATATCTGCAGATATGCCCCACAAGTTGCATGTAGACAGGGGCATCTACACAAATTGGTAGGTAAAGCAATCACTACTTTTCCCTCTGGACTTTGTACAGTGTTGTTGGCTTTGCCAAAATATCCAAATTTCTCCACTATCTACTTCAGGCCAAATTTCTTCATTCTTTACTTCAAAACACATGAATTTTAAACAAAGAACACAAGTCAAAGTATCTTTTGGTGTTCTTATTATCAAATAAATAAGCAACTGTAGGGTTGTATGAAGCTAATGATAATAAAATAATAGATTCAAGGATCACACTATATGGCCAACTGTATTTCTATAATAGTATTATTAACTTTAGAACCTGATGCCACAAAATGTCAGGAATACAGCCCTTCAAAATGGTTAATTAGAGCAAAGTAAGAATTATTGTGAGATACTGGCTTCCCTACAACAGAAATTAAAACTGAACCAAATATTACAAGGAAAAACTATGCAGAGAACAGTGCATTAAATATACTTTTTTTTTAAAAGACTGAATCATGTCCTTGAAAGGCTGTACTTCTTCCAGGAGTAACTTCAGTATACAAACAGTGTAATACCATGTTAGCACATGGCACCTTAATTTATGAGTACACTGCAGATCAAAATTATATCCTCTGAATTATATTCACTGAAACATTCTAAGTCATAATACATCTGTACAAGGTGCTTAGTCCACACCTCATTGGCAGTTTTTTTTTTTTTTTTTTTAAGAGTTCTTCATGGAAAACACAAAAAGAACTATTAAAGGGCTAAGACTATAGCTCTGTGGTAGATTAATTGCCTAGCATGCTTAAGGCCCTGGGCCCAATCCCCAGTACTGAAAAGAAAAACATTAAAGTTGCTTTAACAGAAATGTGACCTCTCCTGTCTATTACAGTCCTGCAGATAAGGCTGCCCTCATTCCATTGTGATAACTGTTAGGTTCAGCAAAGAGTACAAGCCATTAGCTCAATAAAACTAGCGACATGGCAGGAGCATTATAAGACCTGTAGAATATAAGCCTCCTGCTCCCTGTCATCATTCCTGCCATTGATGTCCTAGCACCCTGGGGCAGCACAGGGCTTCAGAAAACCCTTACTGTGGACAGTGACACAAAGCATAGAGTGCTAGCCTCCTGCTGGGCATGTCTAGGCTGCTAACTAGTCTGGGGTCCCATGCTGCTAGACACAGAACATGATCACATGTCACAAGCAGTTCCTATCAAGACCAGGTAAGATACATGCTAGTAGAAGGGAGATAGTTATTTCTCTTGGCTTCATAGTCCCATGCAAAAGAACCTACAACAGAAAATCATTTCCATCCCACTGCAGGGGAAGAGATTTATTTGATGAGTGATTTGCGGGGCAGTAGCTGAGCAAGATGGTTCAGCTCTTTCTGTCCTTTCTCTTTCTTTGGGTCATCCTAGCCCAAGAAAAGGGACCATCCAGTCACCCCTGCCTGGTACCAGTAAGCATGAAATCCTGCTGGGACAGGATGAGTAGAATGATTTGAGTCACAACTGAAAGATTACAAGCTACATACAAGTTACTTTCTCCAACTGGCTTCATCAAAAATAAAGCTAAGGTTTTCCCCCTTTCTCATCTTTGTCTTCTTACCAGCCAGTTCTTGATTCAGCCGGGCAGGAAATCAGGATGACATAATGATCTAACATGTTTCCCGCCCTGGCAACTTGACAGAGCTGGCAGCTGCTCTCAGTCCTCCATCAGCTGCCTCGCTGGGCTGAGAAACTATCTCTCCTCTCTCAACAAGAGGAATCCTTCAGGAGTCTCTTTCCTTCAAGGGACAGATTTCAGGGAAGAATGTAGTAGAATTGATTAGAAAAACTTCCTCCCAGCAGCAGGTTCTCTTGCCAGCAAATCATCTCTAACTTCTGAGTTTTAACTTCCTAGTCAGCTCCTCATCTAAGGGAACTTGCTGACAACTCGCTGGGTGCACAGTCAAAAATACTTAATTTGCTCTCCCCTGGTGAGAGACCAAGTTTTGGTCCAGACTCCCAAAAGACAAAGGAAGCAAAGCTTTTGACTCTATCCCTTCTCAAAAATAAGCTTACAGCTTAACATTTCTTTTTTAAAAAGACATAGAAAAGGAGTTATTTCTAGGGGCAGACATGACATATTCCCTAACAGACGCCATACCTTTTGTCCTGGTCTTCTTGGCTATCACTTGCTTTGCTCACAGACAGCAGTCTCTTCTCCCGAGGAACCTGGAAATCACCATTCAATCATTAGACTTTCTACCGTATACAGAAATAGACACCAGCATAGTCAAAGAAACTAATGGAATTTTCTCTATGAAGCAGCAGGAGGTTTGTTACTATCAGGAAATGGTTAAAAGTGAGTGGCTTGAGTGACCCAAAGAAAAAGGGGTAGTGACAAACAGGACCATAACCATGACTCAGTTGACCTGGGGGATTCACCGACATGCTCCCAATCTTGGGAATGGAGAGGTGCAGTGTATATGGGGTGAAGACCGGCATAGTGCACCCCATTAAGGAACATGAAGGAAGTCCCCTCTCTAAAGAGGGAGGTCAGTTACTGACATGGGGTGGGGGAGAAAACCAGTGAGCAAGAGAACGAGCACCCAGTACCTGGAGCTCTCCTTACACCCTACGTAGCTTGCGTGTATCACGTGTCTTGTGATACATTTCATTCTTAGCCACAATGCCAACATGTCGCTGAAAATGCTATAGCACAGAAGCAACACTCCATAGTCTTCAAATACATGAATAAGTGAAAATAAGTTTGGATTTGGTTGGGTGGGTAGGTTTTTTTGCTTGTTTTTGGCTTTCTACTAAATGTATAGATCTTTCTCTCAGTCAAACTCCTTTACATTCAAAATACAGTTTTACTGTAGTAAGATGAAAACACATTTATAAGAAGCATCGTTTTACTGGACTCCTTGAGGAATTCCTATCACTTCCATTCACCCAATACACATGAAGCCAAGATGGCTGAGCTAGAGCTGTGGCAAAGCTGGAGCCAAGGATGTAAACGTAGAGCTTAAATGCCGATGCTCAGCTCTGGTTGTCACTAGCCAAATTCAGTACCACTTTCCCCAACTGTAAGCAGGCCTTCATAATGGCTCTAGAACTCAAAGGCCCTTAGTGAAGCTAAACTTAAATTTTAGAGTACTTAAGAGTGTCTGGTACTTTATAAGTATTTGTTAAATAATGATAAAATAAATATATCAACTGTAAGGTTTTCATTTATATGTCAGTTTTCAGAGTCTACAATGTGCCCTGGTATGACTAACTACAAAGTGGAAATAAGATAAATAAAACATAGCTCCTGCCATGCATCAAGGATGACAGATAAGCACAAAATTCCAATACCCACTACACCAGTTCATTATGGTGTTATTCATAATAGTCAAAAACAGGAAATGACTCAATTACCCATCGATAGATGAATGGATAAACCAAATACAATGGAATATTATTCAGTCTTATAAGAAATGAACTTCTAGGACTGGAGAGATGACTCAGTGGTTAAAAGCACCGACTGCTTGCTCTTGAAGAGGACCCTGGTTCTGTTTCAAGCACCCACATGGAAGCTAACAGTCCCTAAGTCCAGTTCCAGGAGATCTAATGCCCTCTTCTGTCCTCCATGGCTTTGCACAACAGTGGTGCACTTAACGTACATGCAGGCATAACATTCATACCCAGAAAATAAAAATGAATCGATTAATTAATTAAAAAGAATTTCAGTCTGGTAAGATAAAACTTCTGAGATGGATGGAGTGATGGCTTCACAACATCATGACCTATACCACTGAACTATACATTTAAGATGGTTAAAGAAATGGAAAATTTCAAGATACATATATTTTTCCCACAATGTATAAAAAGGAAAAAGGTAGTAAGGAGAACATAGCATGTAGAAGACTCTGCCTCCCAGCCTTGCCTGTGACTGTGTCCTATGGCTTGTCACACAGTCCACCCCATCAGGGTGCACCAGTTTCCTCTCATTCATATTATTATAATGCTAGAGAAATTCAGTACCCAGTGACCTGAGATAAAACTGAACTGTGCACAATGTGCTCTGGAAGCCTAGAGGACAGAGGTGCCAGACCCGCTGAGCTGTGAGTAGGAATTTGTAAGGTGTGTGAAGATGGCTATGTAGTCATGGAATTACAACAAAACAAAACAACAACAAAACCCTCCTGATAGAATAAAGGGGTCATTGCTGTGTGAGGAATGCATGGGGGAAGGTGTGGCTTCAGCAATGAGCAAAAGCCAGGCAAGGAAGGGCCTCGCACAGGGATATTTCACTTCCTTATAGCCCCTCAACAGTCATATTCTCCCTAACTATTGAACATTCTTCACCCTCTACCCGCAAACCAGGGCACAAAGTCTCCTGTTACTCTAACTTCTAATCCTCCAAGGTTCAGTCTGCACAGCCTCTTGCCTGGGCCACTGAGTCTCCTGGCTCATCTCTCTAAGACCTTTACTCAGTTCCTACATATCCAGGTGTTCGGCAGAACTAGATCAGAAATTGAAGCTAGGACCCCAGTAACAGCATTAGGGAGTTCATATGGAGAGAAGAAATGCAGAAGGCAGCATGTCCTTTGCCATGTCACCATCCTGTAAGAAGGCCGTCACCAGGTGACAGTGCAAAATATGCTTTATAAATTATCCGGGGTATCTGGGAACAGAAAATGAAATGGATACCACCTTTTAAGTATTCATCTAATTTAATCTATTTTGCTTTTCAGTTATGTCTAAAGTTCATGGAAAGATCACATTTAACTTTGGAGCTACTACTGGTAGGTAGCTTAAACTGGATAGAGTCACATTAGGATTTTGAGCCCTTAAACTGCAAGTTCAGTTCTTTTAAAATATCATTTAACTAGTGAACATATTAAACCTCAATGTATATTTTTAAAATTTTGATCCATTTCAAAGGAACTCAAATAAAAGCATATTTAAATAGTGGACATTGTAATGAAGTGGGTATTAGGAAATACAGGATTGTTCTGTGACCATGGGTAAAACCCACTTGCATGTTTGAACAGTGAAATGCACACTCTGGCAGGCTTCACTGCAGTGATCCTGTGGTGACATCTAAAACTTTTAAATATAGAAAAGTATCATATAAAGTTATGCCTCTGCCAGTTTCCAAGGGCCTTGCTTATACTCCACAAACTCCTCTTGAGAGAGGGTCCCTTCAAGTGGATGTTCTCCAGTATCACAAATGAAGAACAATGTCCTGGACAAAAAGAACCAATTCACACTTTTAAAAAGCCTGTAAAATAATAATGTGACAGCGTGCATTAGAATAATTTAATTTCCCAAAGTTCATAATTTAAATAAAGAGAATGATTCTTTTTTATTGACAGGCCACTTTATTATAGAAGGGTCTATCCTCACAGGATACTTAGCTTTGTCATAACTCCAACTCTAGCTATGTACATGCGGAGAACTGAAAAGTCTCAACGTGACCATTCAGACATACTGTTCAAATAAAATAAAGACTAACGCACTGCTCAAATGAAACAATAAGAGTAGTTCTTTCCTTAAGTGATAAAATGTTTCAGGTAATAAGACAGCATATCTTGTATGAAGTGACAGGAGCCATGTAAGTCTTAACTTCTTAGGAAATAATAATTCAATAGGAAAAAAAAATTGAGTTGGGTCCAATCTGAGTTTTATGTAAACTCCTTATCTTGCATCTCAACATATTAACAGGAATATTTGAGCTTGCACTACAATGCTTGCAAATGTGCAAGAGGAGATGGTGTATCCAGGCCCCACAGTTGCTGATATTCAGTTATCTTCTGAACCTTTGGGAAATAAAATACATTTCTTTGTAAATTAATTACCAATTATTTTTTGTTTCAGAGTAGGCTTCTCTTTTTTACTAATACAAAACAAAACTGTTACCAAATAGAGATATTTGAAAACATGCCCATTTCACAACAGGGGGAAAAAGTCTATTTTAAAGCATAATATCAGGGAGATTACTCAAGTTAGTAAAATGCACTTGCCTCACAAACCTAACAACCTGTGTTGGATCCCCAGAACCCACAAAAGCTGGAGGTGGTGTCATGTAGCTCTAATTCCAGTACTTCTGTGGTGAACTGCGAGGTAGAGACAAGAGAATCAGCCAGAAGCTCCAGGGCCAGTAGCCTGGAGCACAAAACATGGCAGCAGAAACAAGAGAGACCCTGCCTCAAAACAAGGTGGAAGGAGAGAATCAACTGTCCTGACTTCTGTACAAGTGCCATGGCATAAGTGCGCATGTGCACACACGCACACGCACATACAGACACATAAATAAGTTAATTAATGAATCTTTAAAAAAGAGTAAGAACAATGTATTTCTTCTGACTATATTTCTTTAAGGTCTTGTTAAAACTGTCGTCATACTGATTTAACAATATAAAAGTCAGAGAAAGAAATGATAATGACTTGAATAATCAAAGGAAGAATACCTTAATGATGTGTCATCAGATTTACTTGATAAAAGTGTCAAATTTTTATTATTTTTCTCTCATAAAGAAAACTGCTTTTCCATTTCTTTCAGGTCAAGAGACAAACAACAAACAAACAAGGCAGGCAGGGTGGTGCACACCTTTAATTCCAGCACTTGGGAGGCAGAGGCAGGTGCTTTTCTGTGAGTTTGAGCTTGAAGCTAGCTTGGCCTGTCTACATAGTGAGTTCCAGGCCAACCAGGTGAGACCTTGTCTCAAAAACAAAACAAAACAAATTTGATCCTCAGGAAATAGTCTAGGTCAGGACATGAAGTGATCTAATTTAATGAGTTCTCACTTCTGCACTATTCAATATACTTAATATGCTTTCATTCCAGAACACTTAGAAGTTATCCTTTTATTTTTCAAATTAACTCCTCAGTCAGAAAATATGAAGGAAAAAAAAAATCACAAACAGAAAAGAAGAAATCGAGGGCGGGAGGGGGTGCTAGAGAGGTAGCTCATGGGTTACAAGTGCTTGCTGCTTTGCAGAGAACTCAGATTTGGTTCCCAGCACCCACATAGTGGCTCATAACTGTCTAGTTCCAGGGGATCAGATACCTTCTTCTGGCCTCCATGGGCACCAAGAACACACATAATATACATACATGCATGCATGCAAAACATTCATATATATAAAATAAAATGTATCAGAAGGAAGAGGCAGGAAGGAAAAGGGGAAGGAGGAGGAGAGGAAGAGGTGGTAAAAATGTTACATAAAACCATTTTGGGATTCAGACTTATTTTGTGCAATAGTTTTGCAAGTTAGTCCTTCATTGTTAAGGAATGAAATTCAGTTTAGACTCTAAAGCATCCTCTTACCCAGAACCCACATCCCTCAGAGTTAAGGCCCTTCTTGTTATATGAGGGGCCATGTTGGATGTTTTATACCATCATGAGGCAGCTGTCAACATTTGCCAATTCATCCTCTCTGGCTAAGGAAAGAAAAAGTCAGCCTAGACCAATGAGGGTATTAGGAAATGACCTTCATAGAGTTCTCCCACACTTTCTCACAATAAACACATTTAATTGAATTAATAATATTCCCACTTAAAATACCTGCTGGGCCTACCTGTCCATCCCTCACACCTTGCTCTTCATCTAGGTGAGGCAGCAGGAAGCAGAGACTGAAGTTCAGTTCAAGACAAATTGTTCTTCCTGGTGATTTTTTCCAAAGCTGATTTCCCCATGATGGAAGGAGAAGGGGTGGAGGGATTCAGTTCTTAAAATAAAAGTCGACTGTGCCCAGCTGGCAACAAGGCATTTCCACCATCACAAATCCCAACACAAGCCAAAGATGTCCACAGTCATGGCTCTCAATAAATCTCCTCAGTTGGTAAATATGATTCTTGTTGACTTTTTACACTTTGGCAGCTCTAAGAGGTCAGGTCATACCTGGGTCTAATTCTTTCCACTGGAAACCTACTGTTTCAATTTCCTGAGAGACTCTTCTTTTATAAATACTTCTTAATAGGCTATTTTTTCTAATATTCATTTTCAAGGGTTTTTTACATTTTTAAAATTTGTTTATTTATTTACGTGTATGAGTGTTATGTCTGCATATATGTTTTGATGGTAGGTCAGTATCCATTAACACAAATGGAGACAGTAAGGGCTGGAACTACTGAAGTCTTCCACTAAAGTATTCGTTGGACTGTTCCCTATAAAACAGAAATCTATAGTTCCTGAATGCTTCCTATGAAATTGAAAGACCTAGAGACAAGCAAATGCTCAGCAGCTGAGTAATACCTACATTTTGTTTGTTTGTTTTGTTTTTGAGACAGGGTCTCCCAATAGCCCCAGTTGGCCTCGAGCTCACTGTGTAGACCAGGCTAGCCTCTAGCTCATAGAGATCAGCCTACCTCTGTCTCCCGAGTACTGGAACTAAAGGTGTGCACCACCACACCCTGCACAATACTTAAATTATAGTCCAACCATACAAAATTATATTTTCTTTTTTCACCAAAGCCCATAGCCATAAATCAAAAATGACAGACATATTAGGAATATAATCCTAAGAATTGCATGTAAATAATATTTATGCTTGCAAAGGACATAAGACATAATTATCACGAAATTAAAACCTTTTCCCTGGATGGGTGTGAAGTTGGGCCTCAGTGAGGAAAAGTAGAATTGCAGTAAGGATTGGAAAAAGCTGAACTCCATGTGAATCCACTGACTGGACAAAGCAATCTGTCCACTCTTTGCACCCATAAAGGAAGTCCTGGAGGAGGGAGAAGGAGGAAGGTGACCCACCTTGTAGTAGTCATAGAGCAGGCCGAGGGCAGCAGCACTGTCCTCGTCACCATTAATGCTCATCATTGCCTTGGTGGCTGCGGTCAGGGGATTCTCCAGGTATGACTTCCAGGCTTCATCCTCACTGGTATAGGCTCTTCGGGTATTGAATGGAGGGTCACTGTGCATGGGCACTAAGGCCACTAGTCTTCTATTGCTGTAAAAACAAGAAAAACATGAGGTTCATCATCTGGGAACTTTGCATTCCCTCATTAATACTGCACATTACACATCATGGTTACAAGCATTGATTTGTATTTCCCCAGAATAAGGCCAATGAAAGCCGACTGCCACAGTGCAAATACAAAGCCCCCAACTTATGTCTTCATTTGCATGAAAAGCAGTCATAGCCTTTAAAAGGTAGTACAGCCACTTAGCTTAGGTCAGTCTCCTTTAAACTTGATTTTCCATATCTAATCATTCCAAGTAATTAATCATTCTTCATTAATGAGGACTAGAAGGGAATCTTATGGGAGAATAGCTTTCATTTAACTAAGCTCTAATTAAAAACATTGATTACATGTCATCAATACGTTAATGATTCAAATTGTTTAATTAAATTTAATCTATGCTTGAAATTCCTACCAAATTATAGACCAATCTAAATCTCTTAATAAAAACGACAATATAAGCTACTCAGCAAACACAACATATTATATTCAGATAATATTGCACAAGATAATGGAAGGATAGTAATGAGACGGGCTCTATGTGTGAATCCCATGTTGCTATAGGAGTCAAACGTATTTAATGACATAGAAATGTTAGGTTACAAAGACCATCATGGGGCCTGAGAAGTGCACCTGGAGAATCTTCATTACAGAGAGCAAGGAAGTGAATCAAGTCTAACCAAGTCAACCTTGTGCAAAGCGGTAATTGACAAACTAGGCAATGTCAAAGACCACAACAGTCCAAGCTCCCCATGGAGGGACCCAAGGTGTCAAGTAACAGAGCCTGGAGAAACTCTGTCACTCATTTCCTGGGCCTCTTTTTCTTGTTCACTGAAATGGAACCAAAGTGGAACAATGACACACTGTATTCACATAACACCTACTTTGGCACACAGCATGACATGGACAAGTGACAGCACCAGGGACAGCAACATCAATAACATTCAATGAAAATTCAGCCACCAAAACCTTCTTATGGTCATGCAGTCCCAAAAGCAGTCTCTCTTGGCTGATAGTCCTTGAGGATCCCCCTGATGTTCAGTCATCCTGTGGCTCACTTTGGGCTGAATGACTGGTGCGAACCCTTAAGGAAGTGTGTGCTAAAGGCCCTTTATATGCTGGCACGGCACTGTGCAATCGTGTGAGGTCAGAAAATGGCATTGACATTGCTGTTTGAGATGGGGTTGAGCTGATGAGTAATGAACATTTAATAGATCTTGACGGTCTCTAGACCTATGATTTTATCTCTTTGTGCCAATGGTTTGGTGGAACTGATTAGGAAGAAAGAATACTGGCTCTATTGCAAATGACAAGGATTAAAGGTGTATAAATGAAGTTTCTTTGCAACATGAGACAAACTCTCACTAACCATTAAGGAGTGTGGAGTCCTCTCTCAGACACCCACAGTGGAGGAAAATTATATGGACATCTGGGTTTCAGTTCCTCCTATCTTAAGTAGGGAAAGCAATGCCTGCCTACTTTTTACCTCACAATATTGTTATGAGAATCAAAGGAAATCATTGATAAACAGGTGCCTTGAAGTACACAGTGTCCTGCAAATAACAGGTATCGCTGACTCCACATTATTCTGTGTTCCTATAAAATTTGTGTGTGTACCAAGTTTTGGTAAAGTCGACTATAATTTAACAACTGTTAAAGAGGCTGGAGAGATGGCTCAGTGGTTAAGAGCACTTCCTGTTCTTCCAGAGGACCTGTGTTATGTTTACAACTGTCCATAATTCTAGTTCCAGGAGAGCCAACTCCTTCTGGCCTCCACGGATACTGCATGCACATGTTGTACTTGCAAAAATGCAGGTAAAACTTACTCGTAAAAAAATTAATAAATCTAAAAAGAAAATATAAAGTGGTAAAAATATCACCAATTTAAGGGAAACCAGAGTTGTTCATTTAGCACTATTTATAAGCACTTATTAAGAGACTGACAGGAGGGGCTGGAGAGATGGCTCAGCACTTAAAAGCACTGACTGCTCTTGCAGAGAACCTGGGTTCAATTTCCAGCACTCACAAAGTGGTTAACAACCATCTGTAGCTTCAGTTCCAGGGGATCCAACGCCTTCTTCTGACCTCTGCGAGAATTACACGACACGGGTGCACGTACACACATACAGGCAATACACTCATACACATAAAATAAAAATAATAAATAAAAAAAAGAGAGACTGACAGGTAGCACTCAGGTTGTTAACCATGGGGTGATGAACAGGACTGACTCAGTTACAGGGCTCACAGCCTAGCAGGATGGAGACAGAACAGCTTTGTAGGAGCCAGAAGTGTGAGAAGGGAATGCTCAGTATCAGGAAGGCTCATGACAGAGGGGACAAGCTAATCAGAGGATGAAGGGGGAAAAAATCAGCATTTCTATTTGGATCTGAAAGATAGGGAGACCTGTTAATCAATGTTCAGTGGGGAGATGTGGGAAATATATGCACATATATTTATATAATATATAATTATATATTAATATATGTATGTATACATATATTTTGGTCTTTTTGAGGCAGGGTCTCCCAATAGCTGTACAGGGCCTGGAATTCACTATGTAGACTAGGCTGGCCTCAAACTCACAGAGATCCACCTGCCTCTGCCTCCTGGAGTGCTGGGATTAAAAATGTGCACCATGTGGTGCTATCAAAATACCTGAAAGCAAATCCTGAATCCGTCACTCTGAAGTCCAGCCTTGGAAGACAAAAGAAAAATAAGGAGGAACCCAATAGAGGGATGCTTTTTTCCAAAAAATAAAATCCAAGGGAATATCTTCCCTTGTCAAGAAATTCCAGTGGACTCTCATACGAACATTTGAAAATTGCCCTGCTCTGACTTTTTTCTAGTCCCCTGTCTAGAACATGTAATGCTAATTACTATAGCCTTTACTTCTCCTTCACATCTCCTATTCACCAGTCAAGGACTTTCTTTTCCCCCTACAGATAAGAGTTATGCAATTTGGGAGTCTTTAGAACTGAAGGGGTACTCCAATTGTCTCACCCTGCGTCCTTGTTCAGCATGGAAGAAGCCAGAGCAGTCTGCGTTCCTATTCCCTACTGGCAATTGGGTATCCTCTTCAGAGGATGGTGTGATAAGAATAGGAGGTGGGAATTGGCTAGGCGGTTAGAGTAAAAAGACCCCAAAGAAAAGTAGCCAGTTTCTAGGCTAAAAGTCAAAATATCCTTAGGCCTCTTAGCAACATACTCTGTGCCAAAGGCCAAAAATGTTGAAAGTATTTGGGAGCTTGTATCTAATCCTTAAAAGATTTTAGGGTGCTCCTGGCCCGCTCTTCCGCCCTCAGACCTCTCTTGGGGTAAGTCTACCATGCAGCCCTCCGCGCCTTGA